TCAGTGCGCCCATGGCCACTTCATGTGGGCCGTGTGGCTATGTTGTGTTAGAGTGCCGCCTAAGAGGAGAAAATCTTTTGATACCTACAATCGTATTTAATGCTCTTTGGGGGCACTTAGAAATTACTATAAAAATACAGTACAATATGAATTCCAGAGCAAAGCTACTATAGGAAATTTGTAGCCAGAGATTTCTACAATACTAATTTTTTGTTGAAAGATAGAAATATGAAAGTGTAAGAACCCCCGTGTCCCCCATCAATATTTTCTACAGTCAAACATTGTAACCATCAATGTTTGTAGATTTTTTTCATTTTAGTGGTTTTACAGTGCACWGCCATTTGTTTGCCTGGTCTGTCTTAATTTATTTTACTCTTTAATATCTTAATGATTTTGGTCACCAAAATGTGTGTGCAGGGGGGAATCCAAGTGGATTAAAAGGAGTTTTTCAAACATAGCGGAGAACAGATGTAAATTCCTTAAAGTAACCACTCATCTAGTCCCTGAAATAGAACCCTAAAAATACAGTTGGCCTACATTCCAACTTACARAAGAGTATAAGGTTTGTGCCTGCTATTATGAACTGTGTGAAACAGTGTGCTTGGAGGCCGGGCTTCGGTCACTCTCTCCCTAGGAGCTTACAAGGACGTGCCCCTCAGCTCCCTTGGCAGTGGAAGTAGTAGGAATGGCGGGAGGAGAGAAAATCATGGTTTCTTGTTAGAGGAGGATGAGTATGTTATTGCACATAAAGTTAATTATCAGAAATTAAAATCGAAGGGTAAAATATTGTTAAGGAACTGGTTTAAAGAATTAAGGTGTATAGAGACAGCAAGAAACTGTGCAACTGCAAAAACTGATGTGCACAAGATAATAAATGACACACCAATCTCTTAATTGAGGAAAACAAAGTGGGAGATGTAAATAGGATGCTACCTTTCTAGTGAAGAAAAAATAAGACTATGCATGCCTGCTTGTTTTTGCATAAAGAAAACTCTGGATGAATATATAAGGACATTTAAAAAAGTCATTTCCCATGAGAATGGTCTTGGTGGTGGGAAGGTGGATTGGTAGGGGATAGAGGTGAAAGGAATGCTTTTTACTGAATATGTGGATTTGAATATGTCCTGATTTTGACTTCACCAGTTAAAAGTGAGAGAAAGCAGAGCATCATGGTTAGAAGTGTAGACACCTTGGTGAAGGGGCTTGCCCACTTGCAATGGTGTGAAACCTGAAGTTTCCTCTCTGCCTTAGTTTTCTCATCCATAAAATTATGATAAGCAGTTATAACAATATCTATCATACARTAAATTGCCAATATCATTTTCTATAGTAGGACTGTTAAAGACTAGTAACTCTCCTACTGCATGTTAAGTACATTTGTGAAAGTATTAGGAATGCCTGATGCTTTCTTATGTGTCCTTAATGTTGGGTTTTAACTAAGACAGTGGACAAATGCACGCTCAGTTTGAGTCTCCTCGTCTCTCTTGGTCCAGTGATTAAGAGCCCTGGGCTCTGAAGTACACAGAATTAGGTTAAATCTGCCCAAACCCTGAATACTTCTCAGCAGCACAGAAATCTAGGGTGCTTGAATTGAATTGAATAGGTTGCCTTGACAGGGACAGATACTATCCTGAAGTCTCTACTGAAAGTACTGTATTCTGAAAGAGCAGGAAAGAAGATCCTACATTTTTTATATTAGTGTCAGTGGTCCCACTCTGCATTTGTGTGATRTCAGTGGCTGCTACAGCAATTTGGAGAAGCACATTCTGGAGTGGGCTGGTAGAGTTCTGCACTTTGGTCTAAGATTTTCCAAGGTGAGCCGTTGATGAGAACTGAAGTCATGGTCCGATTCTGTATCAGTCATTAGTGCCCTGAACTGAGAATGACTTGTCCAGGTTATACCCTGAGGTTTGGGCTCATATAGGAGGTGAGAGTCTGTAGCAAAGCCATTTCTTTGCTTTCTATTCCTTCTTGTCTCATGGGTTGCCAATTATGGACAGTGAATGCTAAGTTAAGAAATGGCCAGAGGTGGCAGCTCACTTTCTTCAGGGCCCATCTTTCAAGGAGGTCTTCAGTGGTGGAGCTGACTTCTGTGATTAGTAGCAGTCTTTCTGAAAACCTTGACTTGGCACAAGTACTGGCAAGGTACCTGCCTACACTTAGGGATGAGGGCTGTCACAAGAAGATAAGGTTTAAAACTGGCTCCATGAACTTGAAGGGAAAATAGTTAATCCCTATTTTCCATAACAGATATGATTATATTTATTTTAGGGGACGTTGAGATCCAGTAATAAAGCACCTCRGGCCAAACAAATTCAGTTTGTTAGTGAGGGACAGGTCAGGATTTGAGCCTCTCAGACTTAGAATGGCTTTCATTAGTGGGTTTATAGATATAGTCTAAGTTAGTCTAAAAATAAATGTTTTTATTCTAAATAGTTTTAAAATAATGGGAAACATTATCTGAGGAAGACCATTCTTTTTAGAGTTAATGTAGGTTTTATAAGTTACAAAAATATGACTTTTTTTCTGGGTTCAGAGGTGCATACTTACAGTGTCCCTGCTACTCAGGACCCTRAAGCAGGAAGATTGCTCAAGTCCAGGAGTGTGAGGCCAACTTAGGCCACATAATGAGACCCTATCTTAAAACAAACAAACAAAAATTTGCTGTCTTTGATTATAGCACCCCTCTATCTATGTTTTCCTCAAAGAGTCTTGGTAGCACCATCRTTGTACTTAACAGGATATGATTGGGGAGTGTTAGCATGATGAGKGTGGAGTTGTGTCATAGATCTGTTGGCATTTCGACAGTTTTTTGTATATGTGTTAGTTGTTAATAGTAACTATGGCCTATGCCTTTTGCCCTCCAGACAAATTTAAAGATAATTTTAAAATGTGTGTCATATTTTTAAAATAACATAAAATGATAAAAATCACAGTGTTGTTTTATGGTTAAGGAGGTGACTTATGCATGTACTCAAAATTTGAGAAGTGGTTTTAAAAATGTAAGCGGAACAGTTCCAGAGAGTGGAGAGCCTTCTAGAGGCCTTAGGCAGCGTGGGATGAGGTAGGAGGTCTGGCCTTGCTCCAGGTGGGAGCTGTGGCTTTGCCTTTTCCTGTGTGAAACTGCCTTTAAACCCTTCTCTTGGTGCCCAACAAGTAGTTTTTGATGTGAAGAAGGACTTTTCTCCTTTTATCAATAGATGTCTGTTAAAGCAGATGTGAAAGTTATGAATGCTRGTTAGATAAAATGACAGTCCTACCTGTGATTTTCAAAAAAACAAATGTGATTATGGCTGAGAGCTTACTGTCCCCCCCAGTAAGACTGTTTAGGGGTTGCATGAATATTTAATACTRCAAACAAAACTCTTCATTTTAAAACTTTTGCTCTTCACACGTTGCTTACCACCATTCTTTGCRGGTTAGAGTAGCTTCTGGAAGTGGGAACTGGGTATCAGTACCTCTCAACCGCCTTCCCTTCCACTTCCCCTCGTTATTTTGTTCACAAGCACAGTTGGGTAAGAGAAAGTAGAACTAGGTAATTGTGATTTGTCAACCAGCTACATTTTATTTGAAAAGCATTAGTTCTTGATGACCTATTAGCAAGAATTTTGTTGTATTTTTTTTTAAACATATACTGATTATAGCTCAGTGGTAGAGCACTGGCCTAGCACGTAAGAAGCATTCTGTTCTATTCTCAGTACCACATACAAAAAAGGTACCGTGTCCATCTACAACTTAAAATATTTTTAAAAAACATGCATTTTGAAGAATGTGTTTGTTCTGGCCTTAATGATGAATCTGTTACTCAGTTTTCTAATGCTGGAGAAGATACAGAATTTACATTTCATAGTACCATTAGGATATATGTTCTGTCAAATAGGTTTTAAGCTTGTAATCAGAGTTACATTTTCTGATGTTACAAAACCAGTTTTGTTAGAATACAGGATTTCTGCTTTTTTGTTGGAAGGGGGAGAATGGGGGATTATGGCAGATTAAAATGTTGGGATAATAACTGATTCYTTCTGTATGCTCAGAAATTAAATTCTTCCAAATATGGATGTCACTATGGTGATATTAGCAAAATATGAGTTTGGGGTAGTGTAGAGCTGAGGGGCCTGTTGTGGTAGTGGACCCATCACTCCTCTTCTGAATCAGTGTGTCATGCAGGGCTCAAATAACTCTGATGTGTGAGGGTCTCTGGTGATACAGCATTGCCACTGCGTGACAGGATTTGACCCAGATACTCAGTCTGGGGAAAACATCTGTCTCGTTCTACCATGCGCCTGTAACAGACAGAGCTACACCTAAGAGGCACAGGGATCTTCTGCAAAGAGCACTATTTCTAGGATTTAGTGAGGATAAAAGCAACATCACTATCGCTGCCACTTATTAGGTCAGTCCTGAGTCCCAGGCATCATGCAAGGTGCATCGCTCCATTATCCCAGATGTGTTTAAACAGGAGTTATTTCCCCAGTGCTGTGAGTCTGGGACCTTAGGTATAAAGGTTTTTCAGAAAACTCAGTACTTTAAAATAGGAATGGTCTCCTGCCCATGTTGGAAGATGAGCTCTCYGAGCTCTTCCTTGAGATTCAAGCTGTAACTGTTTTTATGTTAACAGTACCTTTCCGAAATACGGAAATTTAAGGCTTGCGTTTGGCTTTTGTCTTGGTCYAGGGAGTAGTTATCCTCTAATGGCGATCTTTAGTAATTATCTTTTAGTAAGTTATTTCCACATACCAAAATGTGTGAGAAATTTGAGTGAGGGTACCTTGTAGTCATGACACACTCCAATTTTATTAATTTTATCATCTCATGTTAACCTTTAGGAGGTAGAAATGATGTTGATTTCATGGTGGTGGTGCTGATAGATATTTTTACCCGGGAAGTGACACACGAGGTTTTATTAACAGTTGCTATTAGTTAAGTGTGTGTGTGGCAAAGGGGGAGTAGGAAGAATCTCAGGAATGTCTCTTATAGTTTTTTCTTCTGTTCCTTTCTAGTCTTTATAACCTGGCTTCTCTGGAACTGAGAGAGAATCTTCTGACCTATCTTCCTGAGTGAGTCTCTGGGGAGAATGGTGAGGGGGCGGGTGTGGACTAGGGGAATTGAAGTATATATATAAAGGACTATTTCAAAAAAATGATCCGGTGTCCTTTGTAAAGTTAGTTAGGTGCCAGCCTTCTCATAATAGTCCTTCCTGTGCAGTGTCTACTACCATAAAATCCAAATGTGTGCTATTTCTGGAAACTATGACTGAGGAGTACTGCCTTCCTCAGCATATCTCAGTCCACTCTTAAGCACTTTATTTTGTGTTTTTTTTTTTTTTTTTTTAAATAGCTCTCTCACCCAGCTGCGCAGGCTAGAGGAACTTGATTTAGGAAACAATGAAATATATAATTTGGTAAGTCTGTATCAAAGAGAGATGGGAATTTGTTTTTGTCCTTAGTTATGATCACAAAATATCTTGGGGAGTTCTACAAGGATGCTTACATAGCCAGTGTTTTTTTTGGATGTGGCTGGGAACCCAGTTCTCAGGGGTTCAGAATTGTGATTGGGGTTTAGGGAGGGTCAGGACTGGGGAGTTGGGGCCTGTGAGGAAACAACTGGGGCATTTTAGGAGGAGGAGAACCTTATCTTAGAGAACTGACGACAGGCATCCTCTATCATACCCAGTCATTATATGATGATTTAGGGTTCTAGCTCCCTTAATGGAAGACTAAGACTGGGATCTTTGTTACCATAACATTATTTTTGTTTGTTTGTTTTAGCCAGAATCTATTGGCTCTCTCTTACATTTAAAGGATCTCTGGTTGGATGGAAACCAACTGTCAGAATTACCTCAGGTAAGTGGGAATTTCAGTGTCTACCCCAAAACGTAGAAGTAGGCCTTGTGTGTTCCCTGCTTCTGTGTGAGGTTTTCTCAAGAAGGATCTCAAAAAAAAAGAAAAACCAAAAAAACAAAAAAACAAAACAAAAAAACAAACCAAAACAGAAACTTGACTGAAAAAATACATTTGGAAAAATATATTGAGCTTTCATCATTCTGCATTGCCATAGGAAAGCTGAAAACCTCAACCCACCATTTCTAATGATGCTAAATATATCCTTTAGTTTGTGAGGTCTGTACTTTATTTCACCCTTGTTACCTGTATAACTTACTTTAAGCCCAGCAAATTTATAAATTACCAGGATCCATGATACTGGAGCTACACATTTCTGCTGCTCCTTGTGATGTGCCAAGTGCTTGGAATAAATTTGACCATATTTTGCTCTGTAGTAGTTGGTGTGAAGGCAATATTAAAAGCTTTTATTTCGCTTTTTTTCCCAAAATGTCCTTCATGGTCTAACTGGTATATCATGGCATTCATGATTCAATACTGCTCTCAAGTGTGAAAACCATATGGGGACCTCAGATAGGCTCCCTTTCTGAGAGGGGTCCAGCAAGCAGGCCCAGTTTCTGATGGAGAAACTGAGAAAACTAGAAAAGTCCTCCTCAACCACAAAGGCCATTTCTTCTTGTTGTTTCATTCTTCTCTAGCTATTACTGAATTTTATTCTTGATGTATCATATAGCCAGTTTTTTTATGGTCAGAATGTAGATTTTATGATGTAGGTGCTCGTATTTTGAGGAAGTTTGGGTGCTTCCCCACTTGGCTCTGTAAACCTRTCATGGTGGACCTGTCGTGGGTGGGGAATACCAGAACGAGGCAGATAAGTTTGACAACAGAAAAAAAGCCCTCAAGTAAATTTTTAATTCATGTAGTTTAGCACTGAAGTTGCTAATGACTAATGGACTAAGAAACTAAGTAGAGTTGATTTCTGAGATTCTGGCTACAGTTGGGAAGACAGATTAACAACTATAGAGGGCAGAGTTTGACTGATACTTAAATTTCTCTAGGAAATATATGGAAAATCCCGATGGAGAGAATGCTAGTTAACTTAGGAGTTAGAGGATAGGAAAAAAAAATACCCTGGTGTTATCAGGAGAGTGATAAAACATCAGCTGTGGGATATGAAAGGAAGAGCATGTCCTTATGTACAAATGAATGTAAATGGCTGTGGGAGATGTGATATCCTAACTACAGAGATTTAAGATCCAGTGGCCCATGTTAGAAATGGTTATGTAAAAATGCTTTTATTCCCTGTAGCATAGACTAGTGTTAAACTAGTACTGATCATCTTATATTCTCAATCAGAAGTATTTTCCTGTCTTCACTGATAATGGAATGAAAAGGATGCAAAGACATTATTAAAGGGAATTAATGAAAAGCAGAATAACTTCAGGGGTCTGGCCTAAAATTAGTAGAAATGTAGTCTGGTTTCCTATAGACAGGAAATACAGGGGCAGGGTGGTGAGGCATATGTTATGCAGGAAATAAGCTGGAAAGAATAGGTCAGACCAAGTGAAATATAGATTGAGGAATTTGTACTTACATAGACATCAGGGAGCCACTAGGTGTTTTTTGAACAGCAGGGTGGTATGATTGTATGACTAGACCAGCTATGTTTTCAGGAAGGAAATTAAGACCAGTGTGTAGAATGGACTTGGAAAGGAGGAGTCGAAAATGGAATCCGAGAGGCAGAGCTAACAGTCAAGGTAAGAGGATAAAGAGAGTAGGAATGTAACGTAAGGAAATAGGGTCAGATTGTGAAGGCAGTTGTGACACTGAATGGGCATTTTGGGAATGAAGGGGAAGGTGACTCTTAAACAGCATGAATCATGCTGTTCCTGATTCTGGATAGATTGCTTTCATTAAAAGCAATGTACTTTTCGTCTACTGAGGTTAAAGATCTTGATGGGTCTGTGTGTTCCAGTTTTACTGAGGAGCAATTGCTTTGATGTTTGTGTTAACAAGCACTACCCGTCCTGAAGGAGAGATTAAGTAGATGGTTTCTTACCAGAGAAGATCCCGGGATAGCACTGAACTGTAAACTACTTATGAGAGATTGATTCTGAACGTGGAGAATTGGATTCTAGTCTCCCTCGTTTTTTCGTGATCCTGTGATCTTGCAATAATTTGTTCTCGCTTGGTGCCATTCTCTTCATCTCAAGTGAGAATGATTCCTGGCTTGCCCGATGTAGAGGCGTGGCCTCCCTCCCAGCTCCATGTCTTTGATTGATCAGAAGGAGGTCTAGGACTTTTTCTCTTGCCTTCCCAGTGGGTGTATGTTACAGATACATCCTTAGGATTTTGGAATTTGATTGTGAAAAATCACTAACAAGTTTCTCTGTACCTTGATGGATTGAAACATGGGCTTCTCTTTTTATGCCATTGATGTAGGAAATAGGAAATCTGAAGAATCTGCTGTGCTTAGATGTCTCCGAAAACAGGTTGGAAAGACTTCCTGAAGAAATCAGTGGCCTGACTTCATTAACAGATTTAGTTATTTCCCAGAACTTATTGGAAACAATCCCAGATGGTATTGGTAAGTATTGAAATGGACTAACTGCTAAGGTGCTGCCTACTGTTGGCTGAGCATTGGGAGCTCACCCTGATTCTTTTCTGGAGTTCACTCTTCACTGCTGGAAATGTGGCTTCTTTGAGTCTCCTTGTTGCTTGTTTTTGGAGATGGAACTTTTTCTCTGTGCAAGCATTCCTGTCATCCTGGTTTGAGAGCAATTAAAAAAGTATTGTTAGTATTAAATGTTGACTCATATCTACTTTATCCGAATCAGGTTTCAATGATTCCAGTAAGGATTAGCCAAAATAATAGAAGGTGTTTAAGGCGTCTGCACAATCACTAAGATATTTCTAATTCAGTATTCCAGTATGAGAAAGTTATTTGGAACTTAATGTATGACCTAGGGAGATGATTTTAAATGAGAAGTGCTGTGATTGAGTTGAATCATTTCTAGTTCATTGAGAACAATCTTTKAACTATTCTAGGCTGTTTCCTTTAAAAATGATCATCCCAGCCATTTCCTTTACCATAAAGGAACTCAGTCCAGTATAAGACATAAACACAGAAAGGGTATAAACAGGCGTGAATTGGCAGTTCCACCACAGCAGAGCCACTTTGAACTTGTTTAAAAAAAAAAAAAAAAGAAAGGAAGAAAGAAAAGGACTATATTTAAGCACAGAATTGTCATGATTTTGTCTTTAACTTTYACTCAAAACATCAAAGGAAGTCTTTAAAAGATTTTCAATAGTTAGAGAAAMTGTGTGATAGAGGACCACTTCCTGTCTAGTATTTGGTCAAAGTGAAAATGGTTGGCTGATAATAGCAACTCAGTAGGAATGCAGACATTGCATTTTGGTTACAGCTGGTTGGAAAATTGGTTAGGAGTTTGACTCTATATAGAAATGTTCACTGACGATTATAAATGGCATTTGAAAGCAGATATAGAAACTGGACATGGCCTGCTGCTTGGAATGGGAAGAAGCAGGCATGAGTAGCTAACTTCAAGCATTTGCAGGGCTGTCTGTCAAAGATTTATTACATCTTCTAGTTCAGATGGGCAAAATGAAAATATTGTGAATCTCCATTTAAGAAAGAGCCTTAAAGAAACAAAGGTATTTGTCACGTTAGGATTGTGCTGTTTTGTGATGAAATGAATACTCTTATCACTAGAAGTACTCCACAAGAGGCTGCATGCCTGCTTGCCAGGGCATCCTGTTGAGGAGACTCCTCTGTTAGGGTGCAGGTACCCTGCAGAGAACATTTACATTGCCTGATAGGAAGGGAGGGGGAAGCCTTTCAGGAGCTGTGTGAGTAGGTTATTGATTATGCTAAATAAAGAGCTTAAGAATCAATTACTCCTTCTTTTCCCTTTGGCGGCACACAAGGCAAGATACTGCTRTAAGCATTGCTGTCTCTCCAGCTTTGTCTCTTTTTATGTCTGTGTTTGAAGAGAGGCTGTTTTCTGATTTAATGGAGAAAGTGTCATTATGCTAATGGCTCTTGGTAGATAATGAAGGACCTCAGCTCTGCAGGCTCAGTCCCCTAACTTGTAGTTGCAAGCCACAATCTGAACGACCTAGGTTTTCAATCTGAATGATCTCTGAGGAAGCTGCAATTAGATGCATTCTTCTTTTYGATGGCATCATCATTGTGTCAAGTCTTTGTGCCCCGATGTAGAAAAATCAGTTCTTCATATGACTTTTCAGATTCTGCCTTGTTCTATGTATGTAGAACTATTTCTTGGCAGGGATCTTCACTCAGTCACTTTCATTCACAGGTGATTTAATAAGTTACACTTGATTATTGTTAGTATAGATTATTCTTGGGGTAAGAAAAGGTCCTTTCTACACAGGAACAACTCTGCTCTTAAAGATGTGTCAAGAGCCAGCTATTTGTTCTTTAAAATTTCTGGCTTTGATATGGTCTTTTTAGGTTGTGCTTTTTAAAATGATTTGTTTCTAATTGCTGTTTTTGATGTTCTGAGCATATTATATTAACCCTCAACCTTTAGTGATCTAGATGAGAGCGATGTAGTTTCATAATGTGAAAAGATGGGTGAGGAAAAAGTAAGTCACTGTTTAAAACATAAAAGAACCGCAGATAGGAAATACTAAGTGRTGATTAGGAAAACAATTGTAACTAATGGTTTAAATAACCCTTTTTCAGGAAAACTAAAGAAACTGTCAATCTTGAAGGTGGATCAGAACAGAATCACACAGTTGCCTGAAGCAGTTGGGGATTGTGAAAGTCTCACGGAGTTGGTACTTACAGAAAATCGGCTCCAGGTGAGTAGGTTTGCATGTTAAGATGAAGACCTGGGCCTGGGTTGGTGGCTCAGTAGTGGAGTGCTTGCCCAGGACCTCAACATGTTATAAGGCACTGGGTTCCATTCGCAGCACCACATGTAAACAAATAAAATAAAGGTTCATTGACAACTAATATGTGTGTGTGTGTGTGTGTGTGTGTGTGTGTATGTATAGACAAATATATATATATATATACACACACATATATATATACACACACACATACATACACACACACACACACACACATATATATGCTTTTTTTTAGGTTAAAGACTTATTGGGGTAGAATCCACTTACTTGCAATTTGAATGGATTAAATGCCTATGTCCTCATGTTACATCTCAAAAAAGAATTTGCAAAGCAATGCATGACCAGATGATCAATTTTTAGCCTGCTTAAGGAAAGAAAATGGTGTTTAGCTCCCCCATCAAAGTATGTGACCTGGATGCATTGCTTACAATATAGAGACTAAACTGACACCTCAAAGATGCCCCCAGAGAGGCAGGGAGTGGGAGCCAGTATCCCTGGGTGTGTTGATGTCTCTGCCAGGACAGCCACAGACTGCCAGGGGATGTGCTGATCAGCGATTCTTCTGGTCTTTCCCTGAGTTCTTTGAGCAAAAGGGAAGAGCAGGGGAAGAAATTGTGGTTGAACAGGGAAAGGCGTGGTGGGATCAGGGCTGCGGAATACCTTTTCAAGGGGAGCCAGGGTATGGTATCTGGTGAGCTTTGGTTAAGCTTCCGTTGTTTCTACCTTGGAAAAGGGAAGAAGGTGGCTGCAGGTGTAGGTGGCTGGGACCAGGCTTCACCTCCCTCCTGGGAGAGGCAGTGTGCACCACCTGGGGGTGGGCCAGCAGGGCTGCAGGTCTCTCCCTTTCCATGGTATCCTGTGCCTCTCCAGTCCTCCTGCTGCACTTTGTCCTCGCCTTCCCTCCTCCTTCACTTGTCTTGTAGCCACAATTCTTTTCTTCAGKCTGTTTTCCTACAGTACTCTTTCCTTCCTTTTTAAAGGAAATTGCTTTATCTTTTCTTCATCTTCATTTTGATGCTATTCTTTTCACATCTTCTTTCTTCTTTTCTCCTTTCTGCTTTCCTTTTCTCCTTTTCATTTGTTTGTTTTTATTTATTTTGGTAAATAATAATAATCCTGGAGATTGAGYCCAGGGCCCCACGAATGCTAAGCAAGTGATCTACCACTGAGCTGCATTCCCAGACCTTTTAAAACAATTTTTATTTTGAGACAGTCTCTCTCCAGGCTGGCCTTGAACTTGGGATCTTCCTGCCTCAGCCTCCTGAGTAGCGGGATCATGGGCCTATGCCACTGAACCTGGCACTTTTCTTTTTTTAGTAAAATTAGTAGTGCTCTTTAGATGAAAAGAGCAAAAAAAGACAACAGGAGAGGCATAAGGACTCAGACTTGTGGGAGATCCCAGTGAATGCCTTCCTCAGGTTGCTCAAATAGCAGTCCTTTGGCAGGTGTGGAGGAAGTTACCAAATCTCTCTGCCCTAGTTGGTGGTTTAAGGCTTACAAATATTAATAACAATAACATTCACCCCTGATTCCATTAGAGTGTTGAAAGCCTTCACAGAGACCTGGCCTGCTTCCTGCAGGGCTCTGCTCCCCACAGGGCTCTGATCCCCACACTGGGCCTGCTCACTCGTCCCCATGGACCCCCTTATACCCTGGCCTCTTTGCAGAATCTACTTGGGGTTCTGATTTCCTACTCCAGCACTCTGGGACTGTTATCAAAGCCACCATCCCAGTGTGGTTCTCAAAAGTGTAGGCAAGGCAGGGATGAATTTTAAAGGTGCAAATTCTCACTTACTGGAGTTGAAGAGCATTCATTTCCTCTTTACCAGATAATTTGCATGTTCCCATGTCTTTGCCTTTGACTTCATGTCTTTGAAACATACTATCATATCAACAAAAATTCAGAGTACTCTACTTCCCTCACGTGATCATTACAAATATCTGATATTCAGGAAGAACTATTGCTTCTCTTGCTGTATATTCTATAAGTTCTTGCAAATGTTTCTTTGTCTCTGAGCATGTTAAAAATGTGGTAAATTAATAATACAAATGTTATTTTAACAGACTTTACCTAAGAGCATTGGAAAACTTAAGAAGTTGAGCAACTTGAAYGCAGACAGAAATAAATTAATCTCTTTACCAAAAGAGGTATGTGCTTTTAAAAAATAATACAATGATTATAACGAAATAATAAAGACACACAAAGGACTGAAAATTTCAAAGATATTTTTTAATGTTTAACAGACTTCAGGTATTTTTTTAAAAGTGTGAGCATAAAGCTGAGAGGGGGATACTGTGCCCAAGAATGAACACCAGTAACATTAAAGAGGGTTGGATTTTGAAAGGAAGAAAGATGGACATTTTRGGTTTGACATATAGAGAATGGCGACACTCTTGACAGAAATGGGTAATTTTGGAGTTTGGCAAGAAGAAGTATATGACTTTGGGTTTTACTATTAATTTTAAATTTCATGTGAAATAAAACTGTCCCATAGCCACTGGGATTATAAAAGGGTATTTATGTTTCTGGGCAGAAAGTTGTACTGAGCCAAGTACCTGTCTGGGATGAGATGAGTGAACTCTTCACAAAGGTGTACACATAGAGGAAGACCAGGGAGAGTCTAACGCCAGGTTTCTAAGACCTCCCTCCCTCTAGTCCTCCCCTGTCAGTTCTCCAAGCAGAAAAAGAGAGACCATCACCCTCCGTTGTGGAGAGTAGCTGTGTGGACTTGGAGGCATCTGAATTCTCTCTAGGGAATGAGCTTGATTTTGTATTAGCCACATAGGCTAAAACCAAGTTTAAGTCACCTTTTCTCTCACCCACCAAAGTGTGGTTGGTGAGATTTCCCATTTGCTGAGTCTTCACGTAAAAAGGTTATTTCCTTATATGACACAATAACTGGCTGGATTTTTTCATATTTCTTTGTTTTATTTCTTTCCAACCACCATCTTGGAATGATTTCAAAGCTGCCATACAACCAGCTAGAACTTGAGACTCACCTATTTTCATAGGGCTGCTTCTGAGGGTGTTTAAACTTGGCCTGGGTTCTTCTTTCCTTTTCTCATTTTGGTTTTCTGCCCAAGTGCCTAGTCTTCTCYTGGCCAAATGCACAGATTACATACGTGCCATTGATCATAAATGTGGCACATTTGTAATCTGACATCCTTAATATGAGCACTGGCATCTAAATTAGACTGTCTCCAGCAAAAGGACTACGTCTGTATCTCAGCTAAATTGGGACACAACTGAGAGTCTGCAAATCACAATATTTTGGTTCTAGTTTCTAAGCAATAAACCAAAACACAGCTGATGTTCTGAACATTAATTTTACTCTTCATGAATAGCACTTGTAGATGAGGCATGGACTGGACACACGGACACACACACAGGAGTAGAAAAGATCTGTTATTTTCTTCCTCAGTGTCATGCACTGTCCCAGGTGCTTTCAAGTGTGTTAGCTCCCTGGATCCTCACACAACTTTTGAAGTCATGATGATGTATATCCTCATTTTGCAAATGAGGAAGCTGAAGCCAGTGGCTCTTTTTCACAGGGCTCATAAAGCTAGGACATGGTAGAACCAGGCTCCAGAGATGAGCCTGTCAGTCACCAGCCACACTGCTCTTTGGCCAATAAAAACAGGCAATCAGGTAGTAGAGATTCCACCCAGCTTTTTCATCCATGTGACCTGGAGGTAAGTCAAGACCTCCATTCAGGAAAGAAAGGCCACATTGCCTTGAGTTTGTAGAAAGTAAATGCTATTCAGGAGTATTTTCAAGGTAAATGTGAAGGAGAACACTGTTAGAAGTTTAATGTTAATTACTGGTAAGTTTCACCACCACCCCTAGCTTCTCTGGACCTCCGTTGGACTCTTTCTGTCACAGCTACACTTTCTATACAAGAACTTTAGAAACTGATTATTATGAACTATTACCGTCATTTCAGCATGAGTCGTCTTTTCATTTTAAAAGAATGAAACTGACACTCAGTGTTTTTGATTAAAGGGTTATACCCAGTAGATGCTGTGTCCACTTAAATTTACTAGGATAGCTTTTCATGATGTGAAAATATTGTAAAAATATAAAGCTGTATAGCTATCACATTCTGTCCATTTTCTGGAAAATTATGATTGGTCTTCTGGTATTTAAGAGTTTTATAAAGGAATAGTCTATACATTTTTCTTCAACTACCCGATAAAGCAGAAAACATTTTCATTTTTAGGAGCAGGATCTTTTCTAATGTACCTTCATTCCTACTTAACATACACCGAGTTCCCTGAGTAGAAAACACATTGAACACCTTTCTCTGATTCTGCTGTGGGTCYGTTTGGCAGCCCAGCAGAAATGGTTTGCATGCTCGTCTCTGACCATTAGGGTTGAGCAGCCAAACCACCAAGTGCCTCCTGACCTTGCCTGGTGTCACGTTGGCCTGGATAGCGCCCTCTTGTCATGAGTCTTTGTGCGGTGTGATAGGCCTTTGACTGTGTGTGTGTGTGTGTGTGTGTGTGTGTGTGTGTGCGCGCGCGCGCGCGCGCGTGCATGCGCGCACCCGCACCCGCTAGCTCTGCCTCCATGCTTGATATCATTTGATCAAATCCTGCATTTTCCTGACCAGGTTCTTTTCTTAAATTTATTATTTTCCCTTAAAATTGCATACATGACATATATCTAAATGGAAATGCTTATATGTATATGCTCAGAATTCACAATTGTGTTAATCRGCATTGGTTTAGTGTGCTACGTAGTTCTTCCTATATTTTGTCTTTTTAAATTTTAATTTGATAGTATTGTACATTGTCAGTTTTATGGCACATTTCCTTAGTCTGCAGCATTTATTTGCGTTTGTTTTTCCCAAATGATTGAGGGGAAAATGTTTGTACTGTGTGGGTCACAATAATAGAGTTTGTTTGTGTTTTGTGCTGTTATTTGTAGTAAACATTTGCAAATCAATGAATGTCTCTTGTTTTCTTAATTGTTAGCTGCTTGGAAATTTAGAAAAGTCAGGTAAACTTGTTACCTTGTAAGTATTGTTCAGACCACAGCTGCATTTTTAACTTCCATTTTGCTTATTAAATGCATGAAGATTCAAATTGGCTGACTGCTTTGTGTGTTCTTCATTGTAACGTATTGGACATATACTCAATTTTTTTTTTAAATGACTGCATGGCCGGAACCTTACATTGTTATGTATTTTTCAGATTTGTTCAGATTATTCTTTCTCAAAAGAATGCTTTTCTGTGAATTACACTTTAAGGTCTTCAGAAATTCTGAAAGGCATCACTCACTTCATCTGCCTTCACTAAATCTTAGCTTGTTGGCATGACTGTCTCCGATGGAAAGGCTAGGTGTGCTTCATTTGCTCCCTGTGGCATGCTTCTGAGTTTGTAACCACTTACTTGTATCTTTTATTTCTCATCCTGATGCTTAAGTATATATGCTTCTGGGAAAGGGAGATTCCCTTAAACACTCCTGTTTTTGGTGGAAGAGTTAAGACAAAGTGAGATTCATGGATAGGCAGGGAGTTGGTACGTGTATGATCATGGATATGAAGAACCAGAGTAGTGATTTCTTAATATTCCCTAGCCACGTCTTACTTTGAAACAATCTGGACCACAAAAAATTTCTGGCTAGAAGAAATAGAGTATATACACAAGTTTAGAGTCCAGTTCTGTCTCCACAGTCAGAATGAAGTGACCCCAACTAAACCACATGTATTCAGTCATTCAATCAAATGAGAACATAGAACTTGCTGATCATTCATAAAAGCTTTTTTTTTTATTTTTGTAAGTCAGGYGAGCTGTAATTTCCCATAAATATTATTCTGATATTCAGAGGTGTCTGTGGTGATAAAGTATTCATTTTGTGGATAGCTTTCTGCCTGTTACTGCACTTTACCATTATTTTAGAGTCAATTTCCATTCTAGAATGGGTTATTGATAAAAGATAATATAAAACCTAACATTAGAATAAAATATAGTTGGCCTTCAAATTTTAAGATGGAGAAGGCATTCCTAAACTTGAAAGAGAAAACAAATCATACAAGAAACAGTTGGTGGATATGTCTATTTGAAAGTTAGATTTCTGATCTCCCAAGGACAGCCTGGGGGCAGGAAGACATTTACCACATCTCAAATGAGGAGGTTTCTCCTTAACTCAATTAGAAAGTCCTTTGCAACATTAAGAAAGATATATCCAGTATAGAAAACTAGACAAAACCACAACCAAATAGATGATTCACAGAAGAAAAAATGGAAATGGCTCATAATATGAAACACTTTCAACCTCATTGGTATTCACAAAAATATTAAAACATTTTAGCCTATCAAACTTTCAAGATTAAAAAAACCCCAAATGTTTTCAAATGTGCATATTATCATGTAAATATAAATCATTAAGATCTCTTAGGAAGAGATTTGGTAATATTAAAAACTTTAAAAATACACATACCTTATTTGCAATTCCACTTCAAGGRATTTATCTAAAGACAATATCCATGGGTATACCCTACGATTCTCACATATCTGTCACATTTTACACAGGAACAGTCCATGGATATCTGAGCATGTGCAGACAGCTCATGGGCCAGGCACTGTGACAAGTGTATACAAGGGTGGGTAACCTGTGCCAGGCTTTGTGTCAGGTGCTCTCATGCGTATTCTTGTCTTATATTCACAATAGTTCTGTGAAGTGCAGGTAAATCGTTACCAACATCCAACAGATTGTAAAACTAAGAATGAGAGAGGATAATAACTTACCCCAGATCACATAGTAAAGGAGCAGCAGAACTAACTAGCAACATTGAACATGGATGATTTGTTAAGTAATCTGCAATACATCTCTAGGAGGAAATAATTATCAGTGAAAATACTTTTAGAAACATAATGACATGGGAAAATGTTCTTGGTGGCATATATGCTAAAGATCATGGTGTTGGTCCTAATTTTGTTAATGTGTATGTGTATAATCACAAATGAGTGGCAAGAATACTGAAAGAGTGCACCTCAGATGTTAGTGCTGATTTTCCCTTTGTGGTAAGATTTGAGTTATTTTGCTTTATTGTGCTTTTTCTACATGTGTATGGTTTTTATTTTCCAGCCAGCACAAGTTCCTTTATAGTAATCAGTAAATAGAGGGCCATAATGATTAGTGAATATTTTGATGTCAGTGGCCTGACAATTCAGGGAATCCCAAAGCCACATGGTTTCTAAAATATTTATGAAGTAAGGAAACATTTGAATAATATACCACAGATGGTGATGGGATTCCAAAATTATGCATCATATTATTCTATTCAACTGGCATTTTACGTTTTTGTTAAGTTTTTTTTTTCCCTAATAAAACATAGGTTCAATTCTGTTACAAATATTCAAAGGAAGATACTGAGAAAAAAAAAAAAATCCTTTACAGGTAAGGTAGGCATTTGCAAAGTGGAATGTAAGCCAAAGCAATTCTGGGCTTTGAATTGAATGGGTCTCATTACCTCTTCCTGGGCAGCTGTGACCTGTGGGCAGGTAACACTTAGTAAAAGCTGACCCTGTGAAACTTCACTGAGGGGTCCACTAATCAGACCCGGAGGTGGATTAGATTGGTGCCAGACAGTTAAGGACAGWATCATTTTGAATTAACAGAGGCCCAAAACAGCTGAACGGCCACATTCTGTAATCTTCAGAGAATCCAAGTCCAACCCCGTGTATTCTTGGAAGGTGCTATTATGTGGTTAAGGGAAGTTTAAAAATACTAGCTGCCTACATAACTGGTAATAAGTTATTTAAATAGTGTCTCTGCTTCCCAGAATTCCTAAGTGATATGGACATTCTATCTTGATGACCACCATGGAACTGTCAAATGCTGCCTTCTGAATCCAAAAGAGAAAGCAAAAACACCTATGAGTGATATGCATAATACAGTGCTGCACTCATGTCAAGTTTTCATTGACATTCATACAAAACATCACTGAGAGGTATTGTCAGAGAGATATAAAGGTGGTCTTCTGTAGGTGAGCTCAGCATAGAGATGGTCAACATCAGCACAGTTTCAAAACAGAGTAGCCACCAGCTGCTGATTGGACTCATCATGTGGATCTAGGACTTTCACTTCTTGGAAAAACATAGCTACCACATTTATTTGGCAGCAGCAATAGGATAGGTACTATGATAGATACAAAGTTACACATGTGGTTTAATTTAATTTAATTTAATTCTTATTGTTACTTTTGATGAAAATAATATATCCAAACCCACAAACATGTGACTGAGCCTGAATTCTAACCCCTAGCCTGTTGACCTTAAAGCATCCGCTGGCCCCACTGCACCGTATTCCCCTCTGACATCTGTAATGAGCTCTTATCTTTTATGAGTTATGGTTTCAACTACTTGATAATCTTTTCTGTTTTTTTTTTCCCTTTTTTTGATACGAATCAAACCCAGGGGTGCTGTACCATTGAGCTACCTCCCTAACCCTTTTTATTTTTTGTTTTGAAACAGGGTCTCACTAAGTTGTTTAGGGTCTCACTAAGTTGCTGAGGCTGGCCCTGAACTTGCAATCCTCCTKCCTCAGTTAATAAGCTTTTCTAAAAATCAAAGGTTTGTGCCATCCCTGCCTGGCTGAGTTGGAAAGACAGCTCTGTGTGAATGTTTGCCTGAGATGGCATGTGCTTTTTAAGAGTTATTATGGCATCCCTAGTACACTCGCAACAACATGTACTCTTTGTTGGCATTGTTTTCCAAACACCTTAGACAATGGAGATCAGAAGGTCACACCGCCTGCTTTGACAACCCAGAGAGCCTAAGAGGAGCTTGAACACAATTGCTTTCCACCCCTTGACATCCCACATGGGTGGGAAAGGAAAAGGTGGGGTTTGGAGGGGGTGTGAAACTATAAACACTCACTGGAAGTTAATACTATTTCTCCTCAAATACTTAAGGGATATTAGCATGTCCTGAACTTTTAGAGCCCTCTCTAGCCCACTTTAATTAGTTAATTATTTCTTTTTATTATATAGCATATATACACATAATACAAATTGAAAATATTCACATATTTTAGCTGTAGGGCCCCAGAACAGATATCTTGTGGGTGACTAAGACAGGAAACAGCTTCCGAACAAAACATCCAGCCTAGAATCACTGTAGTCTTGTTGTCCCCTGGGATGATCATATGTGTCACTGATATTATTTGCTTTGCCACCTTCGGGTAGATAAGGCCTGTCTCTTCAAAGTTAGGCAAGGATGGCAGGCTCTAGGAATCTCCACTCTCAGCTGAGTGCTTGCCTGGAAGACCTTCCTCCACTCAGGCCCGTGCAGTACCTGACCTCCTGCAGATGCCCTTTCACGGGGCTGGGAAAAGATTCCCTGTGGGAACCCCTTCCCATGAGGAGATCATTGTCAGTACTATCTAAATTTATCAGGGAGAACCTGATAATGTCAGTCCTCAAAGGATCAGCATTTCAGTTCCTTTCCTTCATCATATTCCTGGGCCTCTGAGTAAAACTGATGATTTCCTTGCTCAAAGTACTAAAGAAATGCCAAACCACATGAAAGATCCAGTTGTCTGTGTCTTCTGGGTTTCTTGACTGGGGCTCTGTATTTACAAAACTTGAGAGCCTACTGGTGTGATTCTTACTAGAACAAAGAAGAGCTTTATTATCTCTGTTGCGACACAGAGAAACAGCTACCCTAAGTAATAGTCCTTCACAAGCAAGTAAATTTTTAAACATGTTTCTAAATGGAAAATTTGGTAGGTATACAGGTTACACATGGTAGATAGGATGGGTACTGTACTTGACAGGTAGCTGATTGTATGCAAACATTACAGATTTAACAGGAACTTAGATGATCTTAAGAATCTTCAGGAGATATTTTGTCCTGTCAGGGTGTTAGACAATAATTAGGAAAGAAATATACAGAGCAGTTTATCATATTRCAGACCAGAGGGTTCTAGAAAGACTTTTTGGAGGGATTAGAGGACATTGGGCTGATTGTTGATGATTAGTAAGATTTAAAAAGACAAATAATAAAGCATTTATATACAAAACAGTAAGTACAAAAATACAAGGTGTATTTTAGAGGACATYGAATAAACCAGGTTTCAGGTTTACCAGGTAGAAAATGTGAATATGTGAATACTGAGAAAGAAAGGGAATAATCTCATAACCTTTCTACTCTGTGAGTGCTTTCTATGTGCCTAGAGACAATGTTAKTCCTTAGTGTTTTAATGTTKATTTTCCTTTTTACATCCATTGTGGTTAAGTACTATGGTTAAATAAATTATTTCAAAATATTTATATTAACTCTTAAGAAATGAAAACATTATACATACGGGTAACAATGCACCACTTTTATAAATATGCATTCTGCTTTTTGGAGTATTATATACACATATTAAACACACATACAAATAGAAAAGGGCAGAAGATATATTCAGATATCACTGAGGATTCAAGTCTCTTGCTCCTCCTCCAGTAGGAGGCCCTAGAATAGTATTTTTCCATGTGTGGGAGAGACATCAATGGGTTCCTTCATAAGCCTTTTCTAGCCATCACTCTCAGGATGGTGAATACCAGGAGAATGTAGTACTTTATGGAGTCCTGCAGAATGTTGTGTCTGGAATTGAGTTATTTTTTCACCCTCTTGGTCCAGGTTTTCTGACTGTAAAACCACAGTCTATTGGCTAAAGAGAATCATTGAAGTGTATTCATGCTCTGTTTTGAAGACCAGACTCTATATACAAAGTTCAGTCACCTTCAAAGTGCTTACTTAAAAAAAAGAAAGAATATGATGTGATGAAGATGTCAGTTTATATGCTTTATCAGCAGATCATAACGAGAAGATGAATGTGTGTATTACCAATTTTACTTTTTGCTAAGATATTGTTGGTTTTACACTCCTCAAGGAAAAGTGAATTGACCAAATTGATTTGTGAATGATCAAATGCTATTAATAGAGGTATAGTAGAAATTAATGTATAGTCCATAAGACCTCCCCCACCCCGTTTTTTCTTAAACTGGGGAATCAAGAACCCTGAAGTCAACATAATGGGTAGGTCTTGAACTGTGTATGTGTATGCATTAGTATCCTCTCTGGACTCACTTTTGAAACTAGAATTGTTAAACTCCCATATTACCAGATAATGTTTGTCTGGACTTGTGTAGTTTGGTTCATACATTTAACAGATGCAGTTGGATTAGATATCAGCAGTGGAAAATAACTTCCTTTCCTGAGTGAAGTTTTTTAATGGTACAGTTTATTTTCTAAATTTAATTCAGAACATGTGTAATGTTTCGTATGATTTAAATGAATCATATTTGATCATCAGTGAGGCTTACAGTTACGTGGTATATTTTCATGCATCTTTTTCATTCTGTTTGATAAACAAGATACTATACCCTCCCTGTCCCTGCACAAAATTGAAAAAACTATGTGTTTTCTTCCCCACTGTAGATTGGCGGGTGCTGCAGCCTCACTGTGTTCTGCGTGCGTGACAATAGACTAACTCGAATACCTGCAGAGGTGTCACAGGCGACAGAGCTCCATGTCCTAGATGTGGCAGGGAACAGGTGAGCAAGTCTTAAGTTTGCATTGCTTGAGAGGAGAAGGTGTGCATACCCCCAGTCTTGATCACGTTTGCGGTGTCTTACAGAATATTGTACTGATTAGTTGAATGGCCCAAGCTCCAGCAAGTTCTTAAAATGGGGACCAGAGTAATTAAGCCAAGTGGAGTTGGGGATAATCTGAGCATGGGATGTTTTAAAGTTTAAGTGGACGTTTCTAAAGAAATGCTTCCTAGTACAACAGTATAGTAATGTAAGGGTAAGAGTGCTGGCCTGAGAGGATTTCCCCTCACATTGTGTAGAACTAGCATTTGTAATTCAGAGTGGGCCTCAGTTTCCTCATCTGCAAAATAATAATAATAAAGAGCTCAAATCAGTTTTGAGTTCTTATTGTTGTTGTCTTTATTGTGTTGGAGACAGGGTCCCGCCATGTTGCCCACGATGGTCTCGGAAAGCTGGGACTCAGGCCATTCTTCTGCCTCAGCCTCCTGAGGAGCTGAGACAACCATAGGGGTGTGCCATTACATCTGGCCAAACTCATTTTTAACCAGGGTTCTGAAATATGCTGTGCTAGTGTCTCTGAACACCTGAAATTGTAAATATAATTTTGTGGAGAGAATATCCACAGCTAATGTCAGAGTGTCCAAATGCTTCATAATTTTTTTTTTTTTTTTTTGGATTAAGAATCACCCTAATTATTTTCCCTGAAGTTACAACAGCACTGTTTCTCTCAAACCCTGGCTCACTTACCAGTTTCTGGAACGTACTTATTCCTTAACTTTGCAGAATGTAACTTTGTTTCAACCATCCTGAGCTAGTTTCAGCACTCCAAATGTCATATGTTCTTTCTTCTACTTGAGCCTATATAAAGCATTCTTTAACCCTGGGTCCTCTTCTCTATCTCCCCACCTTTAGTCTTCATCTCCAAGCTTCCCTTCCTCTAGGAAGCCCTCCCTTGAATCTGTTTTCAGGGAGTTTCCTACAGTGGCACTCACAGCACTGTGTGACAATCCCCTGTTTACATGAGTCTAACTCCCCCCTCCCGCACCCCCAACACTAGAAGTAACCTCAAGGTAGATACTCTGCTTTCTGTGTCACTGTGTCACTGGTCCCTTCATAGTGCCTGGCACATAATAGATGGCCTGGTGAGAACTGATGACTAAGTGAAAAATGTCAGTAGTTTTGCACAGAGAATAGCCTGGCACTGTAGAATGTCTTATATCACAGGCTCCATTGCCAAAAGGACTTTAAAAATTACTTTTGAATGTGATGTTAGACAGGAGGAAATGTGTTCATTGAGGGAAAGCTGGTCAGTGATTTTACACAGTAAAKGCCAACAGTGTGTAGAGTGTTTGGAGGACTATCTCCTAAGTGTTAATTAGCAGGTCACTCAGGTCAGGCGCAAGCCACCATTTTTCATTCTTGCTAATGGGTCATGGACATCAGGGCTAAATAAGCTGGGATCTGGAGGTGAGTTATGGCCTCAGAGGATGCTCGCCTTTTTAAAGGTTAATGCTTTCAGGACATCTTGATGAATTCTTAAAACCATTAAGTGGTTGCTAGAAACTCAAGGTTAGTTTCTACTGAAGTTGAGCCTTTGGAGCTGGAGCAGAGCCATTCTGTCCTGACCTCTCACCTCCAGCAGGAGAAACTCAGTGACTCACACATTCCCTAGCTCTTRCCACACTGGTGAACATGAATTTGCATTGTTCACTCTTGAGCAGAAAGGTGGTTCTGATGTCTGATTTCTAAATATTGTTTTTCACATGAGTGGARGCCTCATTCTCTAGTTCTCAGAAGAAAATAAAGTTAAATTTTTACAATGCTTGGGCTGGGGAGGAGAAATCCAATTAAAAAGTTGAGTAACGTAGCTGTCATCTGAGTCATTTAAGTGTGACATTTAGTCCATGCACAGATAGGTTCATAACCAAAATTTAAGCCTATTAAAATATTTAATCACTACTTATTTAAAAGTATCAGTATTGAAACTAATAATAATAATTTTTAAAAAGCCTTTCCAGAAAGAAAGGCTGCCACGTCAGCTGTATGGCTTCCAGAAATGTCATACCACAGAAAATCATAGGAAATACAACAGAAGTTTTGCCTCTTCCTTAAATATAAAAATAGCACATGCCAGCAGGGAAACTACATGCTAATTTGCAGAAACTTTCTTTTACAGGTCTGATAGGATCAATTATAGCAAGGATGACTCTAACGCATACTTGGGAACTATATTAGTCACCTTTGCATCACTATGGCCAAAATATCAAGACAGGAACAACTTAAAGAAGGGGAAATTTACTCTGTTTCACAGTTTCAGAGGTTTCAGCCCACAGTCAGCTGGCTCCATGCTTTGGGCCTGAGGTGAAGCACACATCATGGTGGAAGGGCCTGGTGGAAGAAAGCTGTTCACCTCATGACAGCCAGCAAGGAAGAAAAGAAAGAAAGGAAGGGACCAGAGATAAGATGTAGTCCTCAAGAGCATACCCTTAAGGGTCCATTCCTTCAACTATAGTTTCTCCCACCTCCCAATAATGCCATTATTTTAATATTTGAATGAATGGATGCATTAAATAATGCAAATAATTTTAATGCACTGATGAGGTYGGAGCCCTCATGATCCAGGCACTTCCCAAAAGCCCGACCTCTGAACATTGCTGCATTGGGRACCAAGCTATTAACATACAAGCCTTTGGAAGACATTCCAGATCCAAACCATAACAGGAACTAAATATCAAATGCTCTGTGACAGTAAGGAATCAGGTGTCTGGTATCATCAGCTACCCTTAACCTTTAGACTCTCGCCATAGGAATAGCCACCAAATATACAGAATTGGGTATTTGTGGCTCTTCCTTGCAATATTGGTAGTACCAAGTACTAGAAACAGTGGTTGTTAATAAGGAATAGTTTATACTTTTGAATTTTGTGCAGTATATATATGTGTGTGTGTATGCACACATATATATAAACTAATAAAAAATTAATTGAAATATTGAAAGACAATGCAACAGTATAAACATACTCTGGAATGCTAAGGAATTAAAAATAAGAGATTTCTATGTGAAGTGACATGGAAGGAGACCCATGATACTGAGCCAAAAAAGCAAGTGTTGAATGATATATATAGCATTCTCATTTTTGCTTTCTTGTTTTCCAAAACAAAAACTTATCTATGCAGTGTACCAAAATGTTAATAGTAGTCTCCCTAGAGGAAGGATAGAGACTCGAGGGTAAGGGTGGTTTTCATTTTAAAGATTCTTRTATCAATTAAATTTTTTTTCAATAATTATGTTCTCAAATGTTTTTGAAAACTTTGCTTAAAACTTAAAAAAAAATTCTGGAAGGGGGTAACAAACAGATGAAACATTGAATTCTAAGAAGCATTCAACCATAGGTAACTATTATATTAATCAGAAGTCTTTGCTTAGTTATTAACTAAGCTTGAACAAGCAATTGCTGTGGTAGTTCTGGGGCATGGAAGGTCACTGTGGGTTGGACTAGTCACAGATATACCTGGAGACCAGAGGCTCACAGTGTGGTTATTCATTTGCTTTGGTCCTTGTAGCACTGATGTAAATAGTAACCACAGGCTTTTTATTTCTGGAGGATGTGATCCTAACTAGAAAATAGAGATGTGTACAAATGGAGCTGTGGCTTCTTGTGTTGATTTTATTCATTCTRTAGTGTACATAAAGTACAAGTAACCAAACATGTATTTTTAACTCCTCTGAAAAGCTGGGTGTATTTTTTTTTTTAATCTATTTTCTGATTTGTAGCTGGGATGGTTCACCTAAGAGAAACAGAGGAGTGTGTGTCTGTTCTCCCCAGGCCACAGTGAGTCACTGCGAAGCTCGGCCCAGCCTGCAGAGCCCGTGTGCAGACTGCAGGGACCGGGCTTGCTTTGCTCTCGCATTACTGGCAATACTCACGCCTGTGAGTGGGTTGAGAACAAGCTTGGATGTGTTGTGCACTTGGTGAGCTATGTTCATATTGAAGCTGGCACTTGGATTATTTGTGAGAAAACTGGTGTTTCATACAACTCATTAATCTGATCCGTTGTTGTCAAGTCTAGTAATTTATTTTAGCTTTTATCATTGGGTTTGTCGTTCTTTGAAGCTGTTAGTGATGCTCCTTTTACCTTTTACTTATACCTTTGCTTCAGCGTTCAGCTGGGAAGCCAGTTATTAGTCTAAGGCATTATAATGACCCTGTTTGAGTATCTGTGTTTCATGCCAGCTTACAAGTCTTGATTTTTTTTTTCTTTCTGTCATCATGGTTAAGAAAGGTAGCAATGCTAACTAGAAGCTTTCTGATCAAAACTTGAAACTTTAAACATTTGGAAGATATTAGCTTAACTCCTGTTTCAAAAGAAATATTGAAAAATTTTCAAARGAAACTGCCCTTTTGTTCCATAAAATGAAAGAGTCTGATGTTCTTGATGCTTTCAAAATATATAATGAATAGTCCTAAAAATAAAAACTCTGTCTCAACTCCTGGCAAATACATGTTTTTCGCTTTCTTGCATTTGAATGTCTGTGTCACAGCCTTTGGGCAGAAAGAGAAATAATTTTTGTGTAAGCACATGAGATTTTACTTTCTGTCCCATTTGAAGAACAAATACTTCTTGAGTTAGGAGCAATAGAGCTGGGAATCTACTTGGTCTTCAATTCTCTGGTATGCCCTCACCGTATGGGKTAGAGTCTAGGATTGAAAAATACATATTTCTCAACTAATATGACCCTTATTAATGAAATACTATAATATTCAATAAATAGTCTTTTCAAGGGCACTTTGACAAATGCAGCTTCAATGTTATTGTAGCTTATGTGAGAGTGTAACCCCCTTTGAACCTCTTTCCCATTTAAGTTACAATAGCACTGTACTTAGTGCTGCAGCTTTACCTGCATGTGGGATGGACTATTCTTTACCTCACCAATTAATAAGGAAAAGAAATATTTTCTTATCTCATAAGTTAATGCATTAGAAATGTTTTGTAAAACACGTTAGTATAAAAAATTTGTTAATATATTTGTTGTTAATATTCTCTATGYAGTGACTTTTTTTTACTTAATTATTAAACTAACTTAACCAGTTTATATCTACCTTTTACTCAGATTCATTTTATAATCTTGAAATACAATATCTACATGTAGTGTATTTCTTACAACTTTTGTTAATTCAAAATGGTATAACTGTSTCATGCAATATTAATTTATTGGTAAGATATAGTTAAATTTCCCATGTAAGTTTGAGATAGGTCTGTTATCTCTCTTATAAATTCACTTCTGTGATTTAGTAACATGGAGCCATCTTTAGAGTGAAAACRTCTTATAAAGTATAACCTTAAATTTCTTAAGCCTTACATTCCTGGTATTAATAGAGGTTTKATTGTTTTTAGTGAAACGGGTATGCGGCTTTGGTTTTCACTAAAGCATGTTTTTACTCTTGGCATCATTGACATTTGGGGCCAGATAAGTCTTGTTGTGAGTTCTTCCCTGTGCATCATAGGATATTTACAATCTTCCTATCCTGTGCTCTAAGTAGAAGATACCATTAGTACCCCCCACTCAGACAACAAAGATAGATATTGCCAAATGTCCCCTGGAGCAATAATCTTCCTGGTTGAAACCCAGTGCAGTAAAGTGGGKTTTTTTTGTTTTGTTTTGTTTTGTTTTGTTTTTGCAAGTACTAAGTACATGTGATTTCTGGCCATAATCTTTATCTAATACATTTGACTAGTTGCAGCCAATCTGTGTAAACATCAGTATAAAACTAATCTTTAGGTGTCACGTTACAAATTTAAAGTGCTTTCATAGGGAATACCCCATTTGAAACAGCAACAGTCCAGTGTGCCTATTAATTATCACCTAGAAGTCCAGGAAGTGGCAGTGTCTAGAAACTGAAAGATACAAGTTTAAAATGGAATATGCGAAATAATCAACGAAAAATGATCCCCAATCTTTATTTTAGCTGCAACTTAAACTCTTTGGCACTTCAGCAGCTCCTTCCTCTCCTTCTGACTTGCCAGGTGCTCCTGCCTCRTATCAGCCCTATCAATGAGGCCTGGGACATTAGAGGTAGTAAGAACTTCCAGTTATGCGACTGAGTTTTTATTATTTTTAAATTATTTAATTATTATTATTTATATTATTATATTATTTACTTAATTATTATATTTATTATTCTCTTTCTCTCTTTCTAAATTACAAAAGAGCTTATATTAACTTGTGATTTCCTCATGCTTTACCCTGTGGCCCAGAGGTCCTCATGAGAGAGCTGGGGGTCAGTGAAGGGAAATGTGGTACCCTACTGAAGAATCGCTTTGTGAAGAGCACATCTAGTATCTTACAATGTCTGATTATACTTTGGAACCCAATCTCAGGAAACTCTTTTTTATTTTCTTCACACTTTTACTGACAAGGGCTGGTTTACTGACAAAGGTTAAGGTTGTGATATCTCCTTTGGTTTGATATCAGGTTGTTGCATCTGCCTTTATCGCTGACTGCCTTGAAATTGAAGGCCCTGTGGTTATCTGACAACCAGTCCCAGCCTCTGCTCACGTTCCAGACAGACACAGACCACAGCACAGGAGAGAAGATTTTAACCTGTGTCTTACTTCCGCAGCTGCCTTCTGAACCTCCTTGCCAAGGTGAATTTAAGGACAGTGTCCACATGACTGCGAGAGTGAGCTGGTGTCTTTGCATAAGGCCTCCCATCCCCATGTATGGTTTTGTTTTGTCTGATCTGCCCTGAGAGCCAGCCTGGGAGAGGTCATTGTGCGGCTCCTCTGGGAAGGTTCCCCTACATCCTTGCAGAAAGGGGGTTATTCACACGTTTTTATCATGTCTGTAATTCTGTAAGCAAATTTTGGTTTTTGAATTATAGCTAAGGCTGAAAAAATAATACTCCAAAACGGGGTAGCAGGATCTTAAAATCCAAACTGATAGTTTGGAAGATTAGCAGCTAATACCACTGGCACACTATCCTTAAAGGATTGAGTTATTTTGAGTCATTGTATTTTGTTTTGTAAATTATGTGATTTTAAAAAATATTCACACTAGTATCAAAATGCGATTTTATTTTTTGCTAATAAATAGACTTTATTCTGCATATTTTATCTAAGAAAAGTTTATTATTTGCAGGTCTGATTTGATTTGCCAAACACTTTCCAGGAAATACCTCAGCTTTCTTGAATACTAGGCAAACATCATTGTGCAGTACCCAAGAAAGAGAGGTTTACCTGATTATCATGCAGTGTACCTGATTTAATGTAATTCCTATTAAAATCACAATGACATTCTTCATAGAATTAGAAAAAGCAATCATTGAAATTTATTTGGAGAAATAAGAAACCCAGAGTAGCCAAAGCAATCCTTAGCAAGAAGAGTGAAGCAGGAGTCGTCATAATACCAGACCTTGAACTATACTACAAAGCTATAGTAACAAAAATAATATGGCATTAGCACCAAAACTGACAARAATACCAATGGAACAGAATAGAATACACAGAGACACACCSATATAAATACAGCTATCTCATACTAGACAAAGGTGCCAAAAACATATATTGGAGAAAAGATAGCCTCTTCAACAAATGGTTCTGGGAAAACTGGAAATCCCTATGTAGCAAAATGAAATTAAACCCCTATCTCTCACCCTGCATGAAACTCAAAAGTGGATCAAAATGCTATTTTAAATCATTTATGAGAACTGGGTCTGACAGAACTGGAGTACCCTKGGAGAATCAGAGTTCCCATGCAGGGTGTTCCCAAAACCACCTTGTGAGTCACAGCTGTGGTAGGTGAGCTTTCAAGACCCTAAGAGAAGAAATGTGATAGAATGTCACTAAAGAAAGAACCAGGTTCCAGCACGTACAGCCACATCGCTGTCAGAGAAATTTGACGAGAATTGTGAAAAAGAGCTCTTGAAGTTATGGACATCTTATGATGAAATAGTAAACATATTCATACTCATTTAGCAGGTGTTTTATATGATCTCAGAATTATGCATCATTAAAAGAAGGGGACAACCCTTCCCAGCACTTTTTTGTTGTTGTTTTTTATTTATTTATTTTTTAACAACAACAACAACAGAAACAGCGAAGACTTGGAATTGAGACAGTGGTTGCCCGTCTTATGTAATATCTCTGGTTCTCTGGGTGGATGCTGCCCATTCAGCCATAGAATTGCAACATGGCTGTTGCCAGTCACACAAACCAGCCTTCCATGCTGATGTGAGATTTGTCTCCACAGAGAATCTGCCCCGCTGTGGTGCCCTGGAGAACTTGGTCAACGACGTCTCTGAGGAAGCCTGGAACGAGCGTGCAGTAAACAGAGTCAGCGCAATCCGATTTTTGGAGGATGAAAAAGATGAAGAAGACAATGAGACGGTATGGAAACAGAAGTTCTTTGCCTTTGTGGAAATTCACAATTCATAATTCTGAGATTCAGAGTGGCACCTAAGAAGGATTTTCTTTGTTTTCATACAGTGATTTTTGCCTTTAGCATTTAGGGATTTTTTTTTAGCAAACAAAACTAGGCACTTCTAGGTACTAAGTTACAAAATGTAAATAAGACACATGAAGCTTTGGGTTTTGTTTTGTTGTGGTTTCAATAATTTATGATGCATTTCTTTCTTTGTTATCATTTCTTCTTCTTCCAACCTTAAAATTTTCCTCAAAATGGGGATTTCTCTCTCTCTCTCTCTCTCTCTCTCTCTTTTTTTTTTTTTTTTTTGGTCAGTGAAGTGTCTTCCTCCGCTCTGGCTTGTGGCTATGCTGTAGTATAATTTAGTACCAGACCTCCCTTCCTCCTTTATATAACTGGGCCACCTGACTCTCCTATAGACTACTTGTGGTCATAGTTGGAATACTTAACAAGTTGTCATTCAGAAATCAGGAATTGGTGTGAAAAAACTGCTCACCCTTTCTTTCATACCTGAAATATTTCTTAGACACCCAGCATCTGCAGGAGTCTGCAGTAGCTCTTGACATCTTCCTACCAGTTGACTTTGGCTTTTTAAACTCCTTGTACTAATTAAGATTTTCATAATCATGGGAGTACCTGCAGCCCCCAAAACAAAAGGCAGTTTTTAAATTCTTGCCTATAGTTCTTGTTATTCCAGCTGTCACCAGATAGAATTTGGGGCATTTACAGTAGTAGAGAGCAAAATGGGGATTAGGGATGACCAGACAACTTCAGCATCAGTGTCTCATTAAAGCTGGCCACAAGACTTGTTAAGGTGTCATTATTTCACTGTCTCTGTAATGCACTTCCAGTATTTTGTTAACCTAGCATGGCTCCTGAAACTCCAGGTCAGGCCATTTAATGATATGCTGTTTTATGAGCAAAGGGCATCTAACATTAAATAATACACAGTTTTAAAAATCATCCGTACCCTGTTACTTAACTCCCAGTGCTATAGCATTTATTAGGAAAATGTGAACTTTCACCAGTAGGTCATGTAAATAGCACACTCAGCAGCAAAGTAAGAAATGAAATTCTTTTCTCTTACTCCCCTCTTTCTTCAACACCCATGACTCAAGGTTTGAAGGAAGCCAGAACTACTTTGAGTGTAAATAGAACATTAAAGTGACTTTAACTTAGGACTTTTGAATTTATTCCTTTCTTTCTCTATACCCCATAATTACATCTTAAATTTTTAAATTTCTCTTCCTAGAAACCTTTATTTTATACTAATCTCCTTTTTAAGTGTTTTTATTCTAAAAGTAACCCTTCTGTCATGACTAGATAAGTTGCATGAAGGCATTTCATCTTCCATTAGCTACCAGTCAGCAGTGGATAATGCATAAAACTCTGAAGAAAGCTTTTCCACCCACGCTAGTAAGATTTGTCTTGGAACGCTAACACCTTGAAGCTGCATGTTTTGAAAAAGTCATGGAATAAAACCAAAATTCTTACTCCACTGTTTGTTTTTAGAGAACACTTCTAAGGCGAGCCACTCCACACCCAGGGGAGTTAAAGAACATGAAAAAGACAGTAGAGAATTTACGGAATGATATGAATGCTGCTAAAGGACTGGATTCAAACAAAAATGAGGTCAATCACGCCATCGACCGGGTGACCACTTCCGTGTAGCGTTCGCCTGCAGGTCTTACCTCCGTGTCTTCCCTGCTGTCAAGGTGTTCCTGTCTGCTTCTGAGGAGCCGTGTCTTCACCAGCACCTGCTGTCACCTGCCGCCTCCTGTGGCCAGGGTCCGGGATGCTGCTCCCACCCAGGAAGTGCCTTACTCCTTCCTCTGCCCATCATTGCCCAGCTGTCTCCTGGCCTGGTGTTGTGTTGTTTTTTTTTTTAAATTTCAGTGGTTTGTAATAAGTAGAATACACTACTGTAAACATCTGGCCTTTGTTTTTCTCTTATGTGGGGAAGAGGTAGAGCAGGAAGGGAATTTTTATCTTTTTCCTTTCCATACAGTGCTGGGACCTTTTGAACCTAAGTTCTCTTGGACCTACTGATGAGAGCTAGTTTTATGTCTGGGGAGAAAAAAAATCAATACTTTTTTTCTTTTAAGCTTTTTTTGGCAGCTCAGATGGTGTAAATTAAAAAAAAAATTGTATAGGTATTTCATAACAAAAATATGTATTTCTTTTTTGTTATTTTATCCTGAAGACGGTACATATTTTAGTATTTGTGCAGAAGACAAACCAGTCCTAAAGTATTTGTTTTTATTCGTACCATCCACTCGTGCCTTACTGTATCCTGTGTCCTGTCAAACCAGTTGTAAACAATGGCGTCCTCGAGCAGTGAGATCAGAATAGGAACGTGGTACTTTTAAAGCAGTGTTGCATTTTAATCAGTAATCTACCTGGTGGATTTGTTCTTAACCAAAAAGATGAAGTATCGATGATTTGTAAATTGTATTGGTTGATTTTTTTTTTAAAAGATGAACCAAAGGATTAAACTGTTAATATTTTGTTTCTTACACTTTAGTTTTTCACCAGTCTCTTCTAATGAGTGCAGTGTCAGACTATGCCTACTCCAAAGGTGTGTGCCATTTGTATAACAGAGCAGAAAAGCACAAAAAGAAAAAACCAGTTCAGAAATTCAGTGGATAAACAAACTATGTACTGCAAAAGAAAGTATGATTCTTGTTGAAGAAGCTTTAAAAGTTTTATATCCAGATATAAGACCACAATAAAATAACTACTACCATAATAGAAATGTCACTATCTTTACAAGTGCAATTTAATTTGTAAATAGAGTTTAAATCAAAGTCTAACAAAATACTGATTCAAGATTTAATTTTAAATCTGCTAATTTAAGGGGTATGGGGTTTATTTTGGTGTATTTCTGTTGATTTCTTTTTTGTATGCTGTGATAAAAGATAATTGAAAAGTGCCAGTCACTGTGTTGTGTCTGGGAAAATCATGTTTTTTTGGGGGGTGTGGGGTGGGGGAACTTCTCCATGAAATAAATTCACCGGACATTGTCCATATAGCTTTTTAAAATTAATTGCTACTTTGTGTGTTTATATGATAGCAGGTAACTGAGTTCTTTGATAGTGCACTCCCATCCATTAAATATGTTTCCAGTCATTTTCAAGTAGCCTCTGATGGGACCCACATTTCATATGTCCTCCCTCTACACAGGCCAGAGCCCAGGACTACCCTGAGTGCTGGCTCATAATTTGGGGTTGTAGCTATCTGCCAACTGGACTCCTTGAAAACCTGTTTTTAACCAACCAAATATGATACCTTCTTTTACATTTACTCTGGGTTCACTTAGCTTTTTAGGTTGTATGTATTTTTAAAACTATTTATTGACCTGAAAGTACATGACATATAAGTGGCTTTTGGTTAGTTGGTTTTATGCTTTGCTCCCTAATCCTTGAGTACCCATTTTCTTTCCTCCGTTTTAAGTTTTTGGCATGTTCTGATTTTGTCTAGGCCTAAATAAATGCAATGCCTCTAATGCATGGGCTGATGATAGATAAGCAAAATGGCTTTATTTGGGGACCTGGTGTTTCATCTTAATCTTTTATGCTGGGTGGCCCTGTAATGCAAAGAGCATTACTTCGTATGCTGAAACCAACTTAAGCTTCACAATGAAATTAGCACTGACCAAACAGTCCCAACTTGAGAACATACCAAGCATTTTTCAAGAAAGGAAAATGAATTATGTGACAGCATACCTTTCCCTTTGAGGCTAAGTATCAAAAGTTTTTGTTTTTTTCTTGGAGAGTGTTAAAACTGCCAGCTACCACCCTTCCTGTGTGGCCCTTAGGAAGAGGAGGAGTGTTGTTGTTTTATAGTTTGTTTTTGTGAGAGTGACAGGTAAAAGCAGGAAAGGAAGTTACTATGATCTGTTCACCCACTTTTTTTTCATAGTCCTTTATTCCTTCTTTTTAACAAGGATTTACACCTTGACAAATAAAACAGTCAAAAGAAACTAGATGGAATTAAATCATCGAAGTCATTGATGATAAAAGGAGTGACAATAAAAAATTGCAAATTAATTGCCAGACTTTTTTTTTCCTGAAAAGTTTGGAGGAATATATCTAACTATCTAACAGTGTACTAGTTGGCTATCTGTGAGGGAAGGAGGAAGTGGAATTGCTTTCACCAGCCTCCCAGAGATAGCAGCCCTTCCYGCAATCTGTGATGAGATTTACCACACCTGCCTGAGAAGATGCACTTAATGGATGGTGTGACTGCTGGGAGAAATTCTTTCAGTGTCAGAGAGTGACTCTGAACAGCCAGGCCCATCCTTATAAAACTGGCCGGCACACTGCCACAAGCTTACTGGGTGTGTGGTAAGGCTGCTCAACCTTTTCAAGAGAGACTGCACTGGAGCTGCTTACTAATAGAAGGTGGTTAGGGATATCGCAGCTCAGTGACATCCTCAGAGAGTTGAAATCTCACTTCACCAATTATTGTTGACTTAGCTCCTCCAACTTTCCAAAGAGCCAATTAAGCAAAACAAAACATCTTTTTATTATGGAAAATTCAAAACATAACGAACAGAATTGCATAGTGGACCTTCATTTACCCATCACCTACCTTCAAAAATTATCAATAGAAGATCAACACTGAGTCTTTTTAGAGGGACAAAATTATGTTTTAAAATACATCTGTAAGAGGTTATGATGGAACAATGATTTTTTTAAATTTTTTTTTTATTTTTTTAAGAGCAGAGAGCAAGTGTGCCCTTTAAAGTAGCACTTTGGAGTTAAAATTTTTGTGTCAACACAGCATGCCATTGGAATCCTATGCATATGGAGATAGGTTGGACTCCCGGTCTGCCACACAGATTGGAATAAACTGTTTGACCTCTCTAGCCTCAGGTCCTTCATCTCTAAAATGGAGCAGAATACTTCTTAAAGGTTTAGAGGGAGAACTAAATGGATACATAAAACAAACTCTCAGGAAGTAGGTGGCTGCTGCTATTACAGATCTTGCTATTACAGTGTCACATTAACAGCTCTCTGGTTCCTGTCAGCCAGCTAACAGTATGTCATCAGGTGRGCAGTGTTCTCAGGAACAACTACTTCTGACAAGGAAGACTTTGCCTGAAAACTTTTTTCCTCCACCATTTTTATCTATAGACCCCTGGGTTATGTAATGTGTGAAGGAATCTTAATTTGTCCATTGGGCTTATTTAGTGGTAGGTTTAGCAATGGTCTCTGAAACCTCCTCATTTTAACTGGACTTAATAACTAGTTCTCAAGGTAGAACTAATTTCTACCAAGAAGCCATCATACACTGGTTGAGAAAAGGCTCTGTGTTTCACAAAATGTCCCCACCTTTTCCATGTCCTCTGTTTCCTAGACTTGGGTTTGTGGTGCTCATTGTCTTTTTATTTCACCCCAGATTTTCATAGCTTTCTCCTTTTTCACCTCTTGCTGTGTGACAGCAAAAAGCTCTGAGGCTTTTCTATATCAAGAGAGACAAGTAGACTTAAAACATGGGTCATCCATGGAGAAAAAGCACAYGCTGACTTGGAGAGTGGGGCATATGCCTATCTTCCTGGGGTGTTTTCTCCTTTTAAGAGCAGACAGCCGATGGGCCAAGGAAGCCAACCAGAAGAACCTGACCTGGTTACGTCTGTTCAGCAGGCTGTGAGGAGAGTTGGAGTTGAGTTTTTTGTGCCTGTCAGTTAACCAAGGTGTAATTTTAAACTGTGAGAGTGAGCAGTCACTGTGACAGGCATGGCCCTTAGCCAAGGACTGTCAGAGTTCTGACTGGGCGAGAATCTGATTGGGTTGAATATCCTCATCTCTTTTGAGGTGTCAGCATCTAACTTCTAACCCCAATGAGCTGCCCAGGTTGTAGGAAGTGCTCCCATTTATGAGCACTTTATAGGTGCCCACACAGCTCACTGAATATGGTCAGTCTCAATTTTCCAGGACAACCTCGTGAGGTAGATGGTAGCACTTCCATTTTGCAAGGGCGAAAATTAAGACTCATTTATAATTTGCCCACGATCAAATAATAAATGACAAAATTTGAATTTAAATTCACATCTCAGTTGACCAGTATCTGTCCAATGACTTCTTTATTTTGTTTTGCCTTCCCCCCACACCCAGCCAAAATACTGCAAACCTGTAATTAATTTAGAGTCATATTTATCATAGTGATGATTGTTCTGGTGAGTTAGGCCTAGGTTATAGACAGAGATTGGCATGAACCTGAGTGAAGTTTATGCAGAGCTGGGTCTTCATTTGTGTCTAGTTGTGTTTGCAAATGCTCTGACTTCGTACCCTCCAAACCTCCCACCCAACCCCATCCTGTTGTCCAAGGTAAGAGCTATGGAAATGTCAGTAGTTCTTTGCTTTATCAAATTGCATTGTTAATCATAAGAAACTTTGGAAATAACTTATATGGTTAGTGGATGACCAGAAAAATACTGATATTCGTTTTCAACATCCACTGAAGTGACAGTTCAGCAACCTGTTCTCAGATAGCTTTGACATGTTCCCAAAATCAGCAGTTAGCTCTAGAGTGAGCTAATTAGTTAGGAATGATTTTTTTTTTTTTTAACCTCACTACCTTTAATAGCTTGCCCTTGGAGAAAAGACAGATAATGAATATTTGGAAATCTGCAGTGTTGCAGATCAACCTTCAWGCAGTTGGGGGTGGAGGGATAAGAAAGGTGACTGACTCATGGTTTATTATTTAAAATCCTCCTTTAAAAAAAAGCATTGTTGTGAAATATTTGACAAATAATGATTGCTCTAATTTAGGAATTAGCTCTTAATCAAAGAAATAGAAAACTTGTGTGACTAAGCAGTATAATTTTATTTGACACTGGCTCTACTGCCCTGTTGGTATCAGAGGAGGCCTTGTGCAGTCTTCCCGTGGCAAAGAAGCAGGCTTGTCCCAGGGTGTAACAGCATGATACCCTACACCCCCGATACCACATAAGTATGGTCTACAAACACTCTCTTTAGGTGATTTCTCAAGGTAAGTCATAAAGGATGTTTTACTGCTTTAAAAAAAGCAGCTTACTAAAAGTTGCCCAAGCAACCCATGGGACAGTACTTCACTTAGCACCTGAAGAAAATATTCATTGGAAATTGACTCTCCTGGGAGACTTTTGTTGGAGTCTGGGTCCCCGGTGTCCTGTGTTCCTGCTCACACACCTGGCTGCAGTTTCCCGCCCCTCCTCCAGCTGTAGGTGTGTGTGCGTGTTTATTTAAACCTTGCTCAGCACTGCTTGGAAAAACAAAACAACACACTTACTTGTCCAGGCATTGAAAGTTCTTCCTGAATGTTGTCCTGCCCATTGGCCCAGAGGCATAATGGGTGGGGTGAGTTTCGGGGTAACTTTGGGAAGTTTCGAGAACAGGCTGTGGGCTGGGTCTGTTGGGTTGGGGTTGTCTATGGTTCCCATCATTTTGGAACATCTGAGGGTCAGGAGCATTGCCATAGATGGCTGTGGGAGCTGACATGCTCCCCGCTCTGCGTTCCTTTTCACCGACGATGGCAGTTGCACCTGGAGAGGCATTTTGCAGAGGCTGAAAGTTATTAAGTAACCCTCATCCATTCTGGTTTCTCTCACCTGGGACACCTGAAGGTGTGCAGTGTAGAAAAAGTACTAGCAGGTGAGACATCTAATCCCTTCCAACAATGGCTTCCTGTCTTCATTTTGATGCCTGTTAGGCAAAAGTGGTGTGGCCCTGGGACCTATGTAGAAGCCGTTCAGTGAAACCCATTGTTTGTCATTTGTGGCAATTCGACTCTGGGCAAATTGCCTAACCTTCTGTTCCACACCTCAAGTGTAGCAAATTCACAGAGTCGGTAGTTTGTTAGAAGAAAATAGTGTCAAGAACAAATATGAAGCTCTGGTGTGGTTCCTTTCCTACCTGTGTTAGTTTTACATTGCTCAATGTGAGGGAC